TGGGGGGGGGGTTTCCTCTTAGTTCCTACTGCGCATGCCTCACGTAGAGGCCCCTCCCCCTGCGCCATCTTGGCTCCTCCTGCGCATGCACCGGAAGGGGACTTTCCCCCGTTTTTGCTCCGCCCCGCGATGATTCTTCCTGCGCTTTGGGGGTCAGGGCCCCGGGGGGAGGTGCAGGGGTCCCCTGGGAGTGTGGGGGCTGTAGCTTCCCGGCGAAGCAGCCCGACGTTGGCGTCAGCGCCCCGGTTCCTAGGCGTCCTAGCGTCTGGTTCCCTCCGCGCCCCTCGCTGAGCGTACTGTAAGAGCCTGGTCAGCTTTGTGCAGAGCGGGCTGTGCTCCCAGGAGGATGTGCCATTTGCAGTAATGAGTGAGCCTCACTCTTGCTCTACATCCTCACGGGCATTTGGCGGTGTCAGTGTTCCAGACTCTGGCCTTTCTAGCAGGTGTGTGGTGACGTCTCGTTTTAATTTGCATTTCCCTGATGACGTATGATGTAGAGCATTTTATTACATGCTTATTTGTCATATCTTCTTTAGTGAGGTGTCTCTTAGGGTCTTTGGCCCAGTGTTTGAGTTGCTTATGTTCTTATTGTTGAGTTTTAATAGATCTTTGTGTATTTTAGATCATAGTCTTTTATCAAATGTGTCTTTTGCAAATGTTTTCTCCCAGTCTGTGGTGTATCTTCTTACTCTCTAGACTTAGCCTTTTGCAGAGCAGAAGTTTTTCATTTTAATGAAGCCCAGCATATCCATTATTTCTTTCATGGATCGTGCCTTTGGTGTTGTACAGTAGTTCCCCCCTTATCTGCAGTTTCTCTTCCTGTGGTTTCACTTACCTTTCGTCAACCAGGGTCTAAAATTATTAAATGGAAAATTACAGAAATAAGCAAGTTATAAATTTTAAATTGCAGCATTCTGAGTAGTGTGGTGAAATCTTTCATGGTCCCGTTCCATCCCATCTGGGACAGGAATCATCCAGCGTGAAGCTGTGTAGGCTATCTGCTCTTAGTCACCTTGTGGTCATCTTGAGTATGTCATGACACTGCAGTGCTTGTGTTCAGGTGACCCTATAATTAGCCTAGTGCCATGCTGCTATGGCATTCACCTCACTTTCCTCTTATCACATAGGTACTTTATCATCTCACATCATCACAAGAAGAAGGGTGAGTACAGTAAAAAAGATATTTTGAGAAAGGCCACATTCACAGAACTTTTATTATAGTATATTGTTAAAATTGTTTTATTATTTTTGTTAATCTCCTACTGTGTGTAATTTATAAATTAAACATTATGATAGGTAGG